TTACTATCGGAACTCTTCGCTGGCTGCTGAAGATGGGGACGGAGCGCTTATGGGAATGCCCTTAGTGCTGTGATGTTGGTTCTTGAATCAAATTAAATCAAATCAATCAACTAACAGCCCACATAATCATTGCCAGTTGTAGTGAGTTAATGATCCCTCTTATTTTCCTGTAGTAGTTTCTTCATGCTGCTTTTTTCTTCTGCTGCCAACATTTCTCCAAACTTCTCCCATGAATCTTTCTTGTTTGTTCTTATTGCTTTATTGGCTTCTTGTCTGGCTTGCCTATACCTTGTGTAGTTTTCTTCTTTTCTGTGCTTTAACCAGAAATGGTAAGCTTTCTTCTTGTTTTTCACCATTTCCTTTATTTCTTCATTTCACCATGTTGATATTTCCTGAGGATTTACGGCAGAATGGCTAGTGCTGTCGCCCACGGCTGTGCAGGGTTTTATTTTGCCCTTGACAAAAAATGTTCCTAGCCCCACCGAGGATTCGGACCTGGGTCTTCCGCTTCAGAGCCCAAGGTTCTAACCATTCAACCAGCCGCGCCTCCACTTTCTTATTATTGCTGCCTTTTCTTCTGCTGCCAACACCTTATAGACCCATGACATACATAAAAGACAATACAATATTGTCCTCCCCATACAAACCCATCTCCTCACTGTCCTTCCCATACAAACCCCATTTCCTCACTGTCCTCCTCCAATACAACCCCATCTCCTCATTGTCCTCCCCATACAACCCCATCTCCTCATTGTCCTCCCTATACAACCCCATCTTCTTAATGTCCTCCCCATACAACCCTTATCTCCTCATTGTCCTTCCCATACAACCCCATCTCCTCATTGTCCTTTCATACAACCCCATCTCCTCATTGTCCTTCCCATACAACCCCATCTCCTCATTGTCCTCCCTATACAACCCCATCTCCTCATTGTCCTCCCCATGCAAGCCCATCTCCTTATTGTCCTTCCCATAAAACTCCATCTCCTCATTGTCCTCCCCATACAACCCAATTTCCTCATTGTCCTCTCCATACAACCCGATCTCTCATTGTTCTCTCCATACAACCCTATCTCCTCATTGTCCTCCCTTTACAACTCCATCTTCTCATTGTCCTCCCCATACAACCCCATCTCCTCATTGTCCTCCTTTTACAACTCCATCTTCTCATTGTTCTCTCCATACAACCCTATCTCCTCATTGTCCTCCCTTTACAACTCCATCTTCTCATTGTCCTCCCCATCTCCTCATTGTCTTCCCCATACAACCCCATCTCCTCGTTGTCCTCCCTATATATCCCCATCTCCTCATACAACTCCATCTTCTCATTGTCCTCCCCATTAAACTCCATCTCATTGTCCTCCCTATACAACGCCATCTCCTCATTGTCCTCCCCATACAACCCTATCTCCTCATTGTCCTCCCCATCAACCCCTCCCCATATACAACTTTATATCCTCATTGTCCTCCCCCCCCCCCATATAACTCTATATCCTCATTGTCCTCCCTACAACCCCATCTCCTCATTGTCCTACCCTGACAACCCTATCTCTTTACTGTCCTCCCTACACAACCCCCATCTCCTCATTGTCCTCCCCATACAACCCCATCTCCTCCCCATACAACCTTATCTCCTCATTGTTCTCCCCATACAACCCCATCTCCTCATTGTCATTCTCATATAATCCTATCTCCTCACTGTCCTCCTATACAACCCTATCTCTTCATTGTTCTTCCTATACAACCCCATCTCCTCATTGTCCTCCCCATACAACCCGATCTCTCATTGTTCTCTCCATACAACCCTATCTCCTCATTGTCCTCCCTTTACAACCCTATCTTCTCGTCATCCTTCCCATACAACCCCATCTCCTCATTGTCCTCCTTTTACAACTCCATCTTCTCATTGTTCTCTCCATACAACCCTATCTCCTCATTGTCCTCCCTTTACAACTCCATCTTCTCATTGTCCTCCCCATCTCCTCATTGTCTTCCCCATACAACAGCATCTCCTCGTTGTCCTCCCTATATATCCCCATCTCCTCATACAACTCCATCTTCTCATTGTCCTCCCCATACAACCCCATCTCCTCATTGTCCTCCCTATACAACCCCATCTCCTCATTGTCCTCCCCATACAACCCTATCTCCTCATTGTCCTCCCCATCTCCTCCCCATACAACTTTATATCCTCATTGTCCCCCCCCCCCCATATAACTCTATATCCTCATTGTCCTCCCTACAACCCCATCTCCTCATTGTCCTACCCTGACAACCCTATCTCTTTACTGTCCTCCCTACACAACCCCCATCTCCTCATTGTCCTCCCCATACAACCCCATCTCCTCCCCATACAACCTTATCTCCTCATTGTTCTCCCCATACAACCCCATCTCCTCATTGTCATTCTCATATAATCCTATCTCCTCACTGTCCTCCTATACAACCCTATCTCTTCATTGTTCTTCCCATACAACCCCATCTCCTCATTGTCCTTCCCATACAACCCTAACTCCTCACTGTCCTCCCTATACAACCCTATCTCTTCATTGTTCTCCCCATACAACACCATCTCCTCATTGTCCTCCCCATACAACCCCATCTCCTCACTTTCCTCCTCATACAACCCTATCTCCTCACTTTCCTCCCCATACAACCCTATCTCCTCACTGTCCTCCCCATCTCCTCATTGTCCTCCCCATACAACCCTATCTCCTCCCCATACAACCCTATCTCCTCATTGTCCTCCCCATACAACCCCATCTCCTCACTTTCCTCCCCATACAACCCTATCTCCTCACTTTCCTCCCCATACAACCCTATCTCCTCCCCATCTCCTCATTGTCCTCCCCATACAACACTATCTCCTCACTGTCCTCCCCATACAACCCTATCTCCTCACTGTCCTCCCCATACAACTCTATCTCCTCACTGTCCTCCCCATACAACCCTATCTCTTCATTGTTCTCCCCATACACCATCTCCTCATTGTCCTCCCCATACAACCCTATCTCCTCACTGTCCTCCCCATACAACCCTATCTCCTCACTGTCCTCCCCATCTCCTCATTGTCCTCCCCATACAACCCCATCTCCTCACTGTCCTCCCATTACAACCTTGTATTTGTTTAAGGTAGGTTTGGGCAACCTTGTTTTGGTCCGCTGGGGATTTTTAGAAATATCAAACCTGGTCTCTGGCCATATAGAAAGAAAAACCATCTATTATAAACACAACGGCCAGATTTCTTCATAACATATTTTTATGGGATAAGCTAAGATTAATAATCACTTGCTACACCTTTGGCCAGACATGCTCATCACCTGTAGCTCTACTATATATTCCTGAATAAGTCTGTTTCAGCTGGTTTCTGTTTTTGTGTTCTGCTATTTTATGAACTTGAGTGCCAGATTATGTAGTAAAATTTCCACCAGCCTCGCACACCAGTAACTAGTGCTCAGCCGGTGAGTTTTGGCCCCACTGGCCATAGTTTGCCCATCTCTGGTTTAAGGGCTTTATTTTGAGAGAAACAGAACATACTCCTACCACCCACCCCCCTCCCCCATTCGCCCCACACGTCATAAAAGGCAAACAACTAGGGGTATCAAAGAGATAGATAAATGTTGTGGCAAAAACCTGCAAAAAGATATTAATAAAGCACCCAGCAGGCTACTAGGCTAAGCAACTAGCAGAAGACAGGAACCTATATCTAACTTCTCTCTGTGACGCTTCATGACATAAGAAGCAAGACAAAAGAAGAAGAGAAGAACTAGGGGCTGCTTAAATCAGATCTGCTGAGCCGATAGGTGCAGATATGGCAACCTAGCTGTTAACCACAATCAAATACTTCAATCACCCTTCAAGGACAAGATTAAAAGAAGACGAAACATGGCTGACTGTGTAAAACAATGTGTAATTATTTCATATTTACAACATCAAATTTGTACAGCTCTTGATGATTACAATGATATATGTACATGTACACAACAGACCTGTACAAGACTTGATTGATGATAACAACAAGAAATCTGTACAACATTTAGTGATAACAATGACATGCATCAGACAGGGCACCACACAGAGCAAAGTAACAAAGCCCAAGGTCGACCACACAGAAGATGGACCGCAGACATATCAGAGACACTGAAAAGTACTTTATACAAAGCAAACAGAAGGGCCTGTTCCAGAGATTTATCTCTTCTCGCCAAGAGATATTTCAGGCGTAGAGAAAAGAGGCAGAAGAACAAGAAGATTGACATGCGAACGTGTAGACAACAGACATGTACAAGACTTGATAATAACTGTGCATCTGTGCAACATTTGGTGATAACAATGAAACGTGCATGTGTACACACAGATCTGTACAACTATCCCTCCTCCAATGCTTGACGGTAAAACAAAGGAAGATAAGATGATGAGGATAACCCTTTCCCAAAGAAAGTTTCCTCCCGCGTGAGTTACAGGGACCCATTCTGGGGAAAACAAGAATAGACCCACTGCCTCCCCAACAAGCATGTCATAGGAGACGACTAAATGGGGGACATTCTTCTAAGTCAGAATTTATCTGCCTGAGAGGCCAGGAACCAAGAGTCTGCACACAAATAAGCCAGATGTGCGAAATGAATATGCACACAACACTTAGGTTCTTAAACAAGACTAAAGTCGGGAGGTGGATGAACACCCAGAATTTCCTGCCGGAGTTTACAGCCGATGAATATGAAGAAAAAGAAGATGAAGAGGAGGAAGAATAAGAAGAAGAAGAAGAAAAAGAAGAAGAAGAAGAAGAAGAAGAAGAAGAAGAAGAAGAAGAAGAAGAAGAAGAAGAAATAGAAGAAGAAGAAGAAGAAGAAGAAGAAGAAGAAGAAGAAGAAGAAGAAGAAGAAGAAGAAGAAGAAGAAGAAGAAGAAGAAGAAGAAAGAAGAAGAAGAAGAAGAAGAAGAAGAAGAAGAAGAAGAAGAAGAAGAAGAAACAAACTTTCCAAAAGTCACTAGTTTCCGCTGGAGTTACACCCCATTAGTGTCAATGTTCCAGGCCATGACATAGTCATGCATGGCAAACTTCCATGTACACAGGCGAGCCATTCGGTCAAACTGGCTTCTGTCCCTTTTAAAGAGCTCTCCAATGGCCGGCTCCATGCAAACTGTGCAGTAGGGGTCTGTCAACAGTGACTGAATGCTAATAAGAACCTTGGAGATGGTCAAAGCCAGGCTCCAGTTGTGGTGAATAGAGTCCAGGCCCACGTCACCGTGACGAGAGATGTTGGGGTGAAAGATCTTGGTGATGAACCGGACTTTTGGTGGCCTCATGGGGTAGCTGCAATGAAGGTATCAGACGTTCTATTTGGCAATTGTAAAATACTGATGGCTGCAATGGAAGTATCTGTAGTGAATTTCAGATGCATCCATCCATTTATGAAAAAAAAAAAAAACAAGAAAAATCGATGTTTAACCTACTTCAAGCAGTATCGGTTATAACTGTGGTCTGGACTCTTTGTGCCAACTATGTTGGCTAAGAAATGTTAACTGCACTGCACTAAAACTAGTGGCTCGACCCTCCTTCAATCCCACCAAGACTTTACAAGAAGTGCCAACATCCTGTGACAATTAGTGCTACCATTGGGATGAGGATAACCCAGACACAAGTCTCAAAAACCCCGTTCAACCGTTTAGGTTATATTAGGGTCTCTGACTATAATGAAAAACTGTGACCTATATTGGGACGACAAAGGAATTGCTGTCATAGCTATAGTGGAAGGTAGGTAGGTAGCTGTACCCCACCAGGACATCACACAAGTGATAAACACCCGATGACACAAAGTGCCACTGTGCAGATGAGGATCACCCGTGGAGAGGTCCTGGAAACCCCGTTCAGCCGTTAGGTCATATTTATGGCCTGGCTATATCTATGGTCCCCAGCACAAGCGGAGGTGGGACTTCAAAAAAAAAAAGCGTCCCACAAGAGGTTTATTTGAACCTACAATGGAAGTATCATAGTTAATAGTGAATTTCAGAGGATGGCTACAATGGAATGATCACATTTTGTAGGTAGCTGTTTCCTATGTACAATATGCATAAAAACAGAGCAAAGTACTTAATTGAATTCCCTACTTTATATTAGATTCATAGACTTTGAAAAAGCTTTTGACAGCACTGATGGGGAATCTCTCTCTGGAAAAAGATGGGGCACATCTCTTGTGAGCAATATATGGATATACAAAGGGTTATTATGTTCCTTAGGAAAATAGCTTATTTGTAGATATATATATAAATTTGTGTTTCTTGGAGTTCAAATTAAAACTTAAGCGGGTAATATGTAAATGGGGTCAAACAAACATTAGTCTCCCCCCAAAAATTAGGTCACGTTCCTTTGATAACTTGGGTGGACTTTGGGAGCTTCCTTCAAAAGTCGGATTGCATCTGCCTGAGAGGCGAGGAACCATCAGTCTGCATACAAATGAGTTAGATCTGTAAAACTGGAACATGACTGCAGTCCAGAAGTGGATGAACAACCAAAACTTTCCGCCAGAGTTTACAGCTGGTGAAGGCGAAGAAGAAGAAGAAGAAGAAATGAAATACACAGATCAAGCAGTCAAACATGACACTGTACATTTCATCATGGAGATGTTAGATTAGCTATGTGATTCTTTTATTTACTGTGGGAAACTTGATCTCACCTTTGAGGTATCTGTAGATAAAGTAGAAACAAGCCTCCCTCATACGGACTACCTTGAGGACCGGTAATGGATGCCTGCCAGTGACAACAGTGGCGGTCTAGTGGGGTGGCCTGAATTCCTTCTGGAGGGTCTGTCTTCAATGTTTTCAACTCACTGCGCAGCCGCCGATGCCTCCAGGAGTTTTCTTCAATAGGCGGTGTACTCTTTTCAGACATAAAACCCAAATAAATGTGCATGAGTAAAGTTGTTAACCAATATTCCTGTGTGAGTCACCAGGGACCGGGTCTCCCGCTGGCTCACCAGTGGATGACTTCGTCCCAGGCGGGACAGTATTTGGGTCTGTCTCCTTTGATGGCATCAACAATGTAAGAGTCCTTTTCAGGACTCTTGGTGGCAAGCATTTTATATGGCTCCCCTAACCTGGTCACAATTATAACCCAAATCTACCCCCTTCTGGAGACCTGGTTGAACATGACAATTTTTTCCGCAAAGCAAGCCAAAGTCCTGTGAGACTTGCGCTGGGGCTCATTTTATGGGGCCCCATTTTTAAAATGTGTGTCACTCAAGGTAACTTATTAGGGGTGTTCCCTTTAAAGTCGGAGTGTGTATGCAAGAACCAACATTCTGCATACAAGTAAACCATATCTGTAAAATGAATGTGCATACAAAACTCAACTTCTGTAACAAGACCAAAAGCTCAGAAGAGGACAAACAACCAGAACTTTCCCCTGGAGTTTACAGCTGGTGAATGCTAAACAGAAATTAACCAATAAAACTCCATCTACATGTCTTCTCAAGGATTCGTCCACCTGTCTCCTCAAAGATTCTGTCCACCTGTCTCCTTAAAGATTCTGTCCACCTGTCTACTTAAAGATTCTGTTTACCTGTCTCCTTAAAGATTCCCTCTACGTGTCTCCCAAAGATACTGTCCACATGTCTTCTCAAAGATTCCCTCTACGTGTCTCCTCAAAGATTTCTGTCTGCTCAAAGATTCTGTCCACCTGTCTGCTCAAAGATTCTGTCTCCACCTGTCTCCTCAAAGATTCTGTCTGCCTGTCTGCTCAAAGATTCCGTCCACCTGCCTACTCAAAGATTCCCTCCACCTCAACGTAACATGAGTCACGGCAGCCTGCTCACAGGAATCCTCTTTTTTTTATCTACTTTACGTTCACCGGCTGTAAACCCCTGCAGAAAGTTCTGGTCGTTTATCCGCTTCTGGACTTTAGTCATGTTCCAGTACCCGAGTTGTTTTTTTTTTTTGTGTGCACAATTGTTTTACAGTGCTGGCTTATGTGTATGCAGACTGTTGGTTCCTTGCCTGTCAGGCAGATGCACTCTGACTTTGAAGGAAACATATCTAACTAGTCGGCTCCTATGAAATGGGTGACCGAGGGGGGAGGGGGGGGGGCATCTTAGTGTAGCAGCTAGACACTCGACTGAGGAACTGAAGGTCGTGGTTCAGATCCTGACCTCGGCTCCCAGGTCAACCCAGCTTTAAATAGCTCCCAGGTACAGTCCTAAGAAGTAAAGGTGGCTGGTGTGATGCTGACCAAGTCACCCATATTATATACAGGTCTAGCCCTATATGCCTAGTACTCCTGAAGGCATGGGAAATGGTCCTTTACTTTGCTTTTGCTTTTTTTTTTTTAACCTATGACATGCTTGTTACGGGGTAATGGGTCTATTCTTTTGTTACCCACCTGATACCCCTGGAATCTGAACGAGGATAACAATGATTCTAAAGACGGTTTCACAAGCCTAAACATTTGGGAACCACTGTAAGAAAACACCTTCTTCTTCTTGTGTTTGCTTTCTGATTTACCCTGACAGACAAGTTCTTGTGATAAACTTGTTTTTTAGGAGTTCCCTTTTAGTTCCATACAACTCTGAGGTCCCTATTCTACGACTCAGGACAGGACATAACAAACTTAACACAGAATAAAAATCAAAAGCTTTTGCAGATGATTACCTGAAGCATCATGCTCTCCAGACAGCAACGGCATGGGGAGCTTAACAATCTGTGGAAGAGTACATTAGAATTACAGGCTACCTCAACAGACAATGTTATTAATCTACAAGAGAATTATAGGCTAACATAACAAAGTCAATATTCTACAAGAGAATTACAGGCTAACACAATAGAGTCAATAATCTACAAGAGAATTATAGGCTAATATAACAAAGTCAATAATCTACAAGAGAATTTACAGCCTAACACAACAAAGTCAATAATCTACAAGAGAATTACAGGGTAACATAACAGGGTCAATAATCCACAAGAGGAATATAGCTAACGCAAAAAACAAAGTCAATAATCTAAAAGAAAATTACTGGCTAACACAACAAAGTCAGTAATCTACAAGAGAATTACAGGCTAACACAAAAACAAAGTCAATAATCTACAAGATTATTACAGGCTAACGCAAGGACAAAGTCAATAATCTACAAGAGAATTTACAGGCTAACACAATAGAGTCAATAATCTACAAGAGAATTCACAGCCTAACACAACAAAGTCAATAATCTACAAGAGAATTCACAGCCTAACACAACAAAGTCAATAATCTACAAGAGAATTACAGGGTAACACAACAAAGTCAATAATCTACAAGAGAATTACAGGGTAACACAACAAGGTCAATAATCCACAAAAGGAATATAGCTAACGCAAAAAACAATAATCTTGTGAATGTTGTGATATATACTCCACAGTTATAAAATTCAGAAAAATAAACTCGTACTTACAGCTGTGCGTAAACTGTCTTCCAGCACAGAATTTTATACTGAGGTTGAAACAATGGCCATCGCAACTGAATGAAATGTTTCCATTGGGACTGAGAAATCTCCCCATCCAGAATCTGGCGCCACCTGGTGCACACGTTTCCAGCAACCCACAATGAAATATCATCAAGGTTCTTGAACACGAGTAATAAAACTGTTAAAAAAATACAACAACAATAATAATAAAGTGTCAATGGTGTGAGATGAATAAATTAATTACTAGCTATTAAGCAGAGATAATTCATCATTGTCATCATCCTTTTCTGTCATCTATAGGCCATACCATAGCCAGCTCCAGATATATGGCGGTACAGTTCAAACGGGAATTCCCATTTTTGTGAGGCTGGCGTGGCCGGTCGGTGGTAACAATTGTTATCGGGTAGATTTATACACAAACTGAACTACACTTTAATTAATTTGCAACACGTGTTATTGATTGAATCATCATTTTAAGGATAAATACTTTCTAATAGCCCATTTATTTGTCTTAAAAATAATAATTCAGATCCACTGCCTCCCTAACAAGCATGTCATAAGAGTCAACAGAGGCTTCCTTCAAAGTCAGAGTGCCTGACAGGTAAGTAACCAACAACCTGCTTACAAATAAGCCCTATCTGTAAAATGGAAATGGAAAGCAAAACTCAAGTTCTGAAATAAGACTAAAGTCCAGAAGTGGATGAACAAACAGAACTTTCTGCCGGAGTTTACAGCCGGTGAACATAAAGAAGAAGAAGATAATGCCAGCATAAAGCTGTGAAAATGTAAAGATAAAATGAATTAAATGGAAACATTACCTAATTTATATCTATTGTAAATAATTAGGACATAAAAACAGATGACACAATTTCTGTCTTATTTCTCTGCAAAATCAAGTTTCTAGAATATGAGCAAAAAAACTGAGAAAAATAATAAACCTGTCAAATGTATGAAACAGATAAATTAATTATTAGATACCGACTAGAAATAATTAGGAAATTTAAAAAAAAAAAAAAAAACAATAAGATTGCGCAATATATGGCCTGTTATATTTCATTGTAGCATCCATCCTCAGTAATTTGCCAATGTGCTCATGTCAGATGTGCAAATGAACTGCAGAAATATGCAAGCTGTCTCTTGTAGAGCCCATTAAGAAGGGAATAGTGGCCTATATCGAGAACTGAATGTCACTGAAGAAGAGTCCTAGCTAGGCTGTGATATCTCTCAACCACCACGGCTCCCAGGGTATACAGAGTATTTAGAATATATTTAGAATAAAAACTCACAATGTGGGTTTTTGGGCCTTGTTTGGAAAAAGGGGGGGGGGGAAACCAAACCTATGACTATGACTAAGACTATGACTAAGAAAAAGACTATTAATAAGACTAAGACTAATACTATGACCAAGACTATGAGCAAGACTAAGACTATGAGTAAGACTATGACAAAGACTATGATCTCGGTGAGTCTGTCCGCCTTGTGCCTGGCTGGTCGTCGAGCTTGGTGATAAACCTGCCAATACAGGAAGTTATCAAATGTTTGAAAAAAACTGAAATAAGTTGCTGAAAGGCAAGTGTACTTTCTTACCAAATGACATCATTATTAAGACATCTAAGCAAAAAGATTCTAAGCAAAATGCTGAAGAAAGGTATGCTCCGTGCAGGGTGACAATCATCATCACTTCAGAGGTCCCTGGGGTGTCCTTCAGATCTATTTTATGGGGTCTGCTGGTGTGTTGGGAAACAATCAGGAGGACAGACTGGTCAGTGCTGCACTAGCTGGTGTGTTGGGAAACAATCAGGAGGACAGACTGGTCAGTGCTGCACTAGCTGGTGTGTTGGGAAACAATCAGGAGGACAGACTGGTCATGCACTAGCTGGTGTGTTGGGAAACAATCAGGAGGACAGACTGGTCAGTGCTGCACTAGCTGGTGTGTTGGGAAACAATCAGGAGGACAGACTGGTCAGTGCTGCACTAGCTGGTGTGTTGGGAAACAATCAGGAGGACAGACTGGTCAGTGCTGCACTAGCTGGTGTGTTGGGAAACAATCAGGAGGACAGCTGGTCAGTGCTGCACTAGCTGGTGTGTTGGGAAACAATCAGGAGGACAGACTGGTCAGTGCTGCACTAGCTGGTGTTTGGGAAACAATCAGGGGACAGACTGGTCAGTGCTGCAATAAGTTTTGGGAAACAATCAGGAGGACAGACTGGTCAGTGCTGCACACTAGCTGGTGTGTTTGGGAAACAATCAGGATGACAGACTGGTCAGTGCTGCACTAGCTGGTGTGTTGGGGAAACATCAGGAAGACAGACTGGTCAGTGCTGCACTAGCTGGTGTGTTGGGAAACAATAGGAGGACAGACTGGTCAGTGCTGCACTAGCTGGTGTGTTGGGAAACAATCAGGAGGAAGACTGGTCAGTGCTGCACTAGCTGGTGTGTTGGGAAACAATCAGGAGGACAGACTGGTCAGTGCTGCACT